ACTAACAGCACCCTTACACACACAGCACCCTTACACACACAGCACCCTTACAAATACACAAACACAGCACACACGAACAGCACCCTTACACATACAGCACCGTCACACATACACACACACACTAACAGCACCCTCACACACACAGTGCCCTCACACACACAGCACCCTCTCACACACATACAGCACCCTAACACACACACACACACCACCTTCACAAACACACACACAGCACCCTTACACTCACACAGCGCCCTCACACACACAGCACCCTCACACACACAGCAGTGTGTGCGTAAATATATATATACACATATATATATATATATATATATATACGCAGCGTGTGTGTTTGTGCTTTAGGGTGCACACCCTTATGCAATAAGGCTGTGCACGCCTATGTTCACAGTAACTAGTAATCAGTGTCGAGTGTACAAAGCGATCAGAACAATCAGACGTTATAACCAGGACTCAATGCTTATATCAGTCAGTATAATTAATTAGGAACAGTATAACCTTTATAATTAGCGCTCAGTGTGTAATCAGGTGTAGCCAGAGGTCAGTAAAATCAGAATTTACACTGTGGCGCCGGCGCTGTGGAGTATCGGTAATAATCTCATATTATTTGCTAACTGCAAGATTACCAACAATTACACCCGCCAGTGTTATTGTGTTTTAAATTCACATTAACATTTTAATTACACCATATATTATAATAACATTTTAAACACACTATCATTTATTAAGAAATATATAAATATGTCTCATTAAATAGAAGTGTGTAACCTTACTAAACTCAGTAAATGCATGCTAATTACAATAAAGTTAAATGAACAGATATACTGTATATTTAAAATAACCCATTTATTTCGTTTATGTCTTCGCTTGATTTACTGTTAGCTCAATTTACTTTAAGCTTCAGTTTAATCAAATTCCATTTTTTTTCTGTAACTGAAGAACATTAAATTACTGGGTTTCTCTGTATGATTCTGCGTGATCTCTCCATAATGCTCTAATTTTCACAGACCAACAGTTTCCCTGTAGGTGCATGTCCTTACGATTATATAGTAAAGACAAAAGGATATTGGGGGCATCATGTTTCGGGTGTGCCCCCAATTCCCTTTTTTCTTTACTATGTAAGTTTGAAATTCAGATCAGATTCCCTTTGGGGTTAAGCACCCCGCTCAGACCCCCAGCTTCAGAGGTTCCTTTGGAGGTGACCACAGGCAGGGCCGCCACCAGAAATTTTGGGGCCCCTAACTCAGTTCAGGGTCTGGGCCCCCGAGGGCCTGCCTCCAATCCCGCCCACAGGGTCCACCTCCAAATCCGGCCCACAGGAATACCCACATAGACACAAACACACACACTGATACAAATGGACACAGATACACACACACACAGATACATACTAACAGACACACATACTGAAACAGACATACACGCATATAGGCATACATACTGACACAGACATACTTAGACATACACATATATACAGACACACAGGCATACATAGTGACAGACAGACACATACTAAAATATATACAGACACACATGCATAAGGACATACAGACACATACATACATACAGACACCGACATACATACATTCATACAGACTTACAGTCACTGACATCCATACACACACAGACATACATTCATAATAACATACAGACATACATACAGGGAGTGCAGAATTATTAGGCAAATGAGTATTTTGACCACATCATCCTCTTTATGCATGTTGTCTTACTCCAAGCTGTATAGGCTCGAAAGCCTACTACAAATTAAGCATATTAGGTGATGTGCATCTCTGTAATGAGAAGGGGTGTGGTCTAATGACATCAACACCCTATATCAGGTGTGTATAATTATTAGGCAACTTCCTTTCCTTTGGCAAAATGGGTCAAAAGAAGGACTTGACAGGCTCAGAAAAGTCAAAATAGTGAGATATCTTGCAGAGGGATGCAGCACTCTTAAAATTGCAAAGCTTCTGAAGCGTGATCATCGAACAATCAAGCGTTTCATTCAAAATAGTCAACAGGGTCGCAAGAAGCTTGTGGAAAAACCAAGGCGCAAAATAACTGCCCATGAACTGAGAAAAGTCAAGCGTGCAGCTGCCACTTGCCACCAGTTTGGCCATATTTCAGAGCTGCAACATCACTGGAGTGCCCAAAAGCACAAGGTGTGCAATACTCAGAGACATGGCCAAGGTAAGAAAGGCTGAAAGACGACCACCACTGAACAAGACACACAAGCTGAAACATCAAGACTGGGCCAAGAAATCTCAAGACTGATTTTTCTAAGGTTTTATGGACTGATGAAATGAGAGTGAGTCTTGATGGGCCAGATGGATGGGCCCGTGGTTGGATTGGTAAAGGGCAGAGAGCTCCAATCCGACTCAGACGCCAGCAAGGTGGAGGTGGAGTACTGGTTTGGGCTGGTATCATCAAAGATGAGCTTGTGGGCCTTTTCGGGTTGAGGATGGAGTCAAGCTCAACTCCCAGTCCTACTGCCAGTTCCTGGAAGACACCTTCTTCAAGCAGTGGTACAGGAAGAAGTCTGCATCCTTCAAGAAAAACATGATTTTCATGCAGGACAATGCTCCATCACACACGCCCAAGTACTCCACAGCGTGGCTGGCAAGAAAGGGTATAAAAGAAGAAAATCTAATGACATGGCCTCCTTGTTCACCTGATCTGAACCCCATTGAGAACCTGTGATCCATCATCAAATGTGAGATTTACAAGGAGGGAAAACAGTACACCTCTCTGAACAGTGTCTGGGAGGTTGTGGTTGCTGCTGCACGCAATGTTGATGGTGAACAGATCAAAACACTGACAGAATCCATGGATGGCAGGCTTTTGAGTGTCCTTGCAAAGAAAGGTGGCTATATTGGTCACTGATTTGTTTTGTTTTGTTTTTGAATGTCAGAAATGTATATTTGTGAATGTTGAGATGTTATATTGGTTTCACTGGTAATAATAAATAATTGAAATGGGTATATATTTGTTTTTGTTAAGTTGTCTAATAATTATGCACAGTAATAGTCACCTGCACACACAGATATCCCCCTAACATAGCTAAAACTAAAAACAAACTAAAAACTACTTCCAAAAATATTCAGCTTTGATATTAATGAGTTTTTTGGGTTCATTGAGAACATGGTTGTTGTTCAATAATAAAATTAATCCTCAAAAATACAACTTGCCTAATAATTCTGCACTCCCTGTACATTCATTCATACTGACATACATTGATACTGGCACACATACAGACATACATTCATACATACATACTGGCAGATATCCATTCATACAGACAGACATACATGCATACTGACATCCATACACACATCCATACTGACATCCATACAGACATACATTCATACTGACATACATTCATACATACAGACATACACACACACACACACACAGACATACATTTATAATGACATACAAACATACATTGATACTGGAATACATACATACATAGTGACAGACATATATACATACACACATACATACATTCATACTGACATATATTGATACTGGCATATATACATACAGACACACACACACACCTCATTTTTCAGCCGCCCTCCTGTTCTTACCTTTTCTTTGCAGGAGGGTGGCTGGGGCTGATGGGAGTCGGCGCAGCTCTCCCTCTTCACTGGCGCTTCTCCCACGTGGAGTGAGCTGGGAGGAGGTGACCACTTCCTCCCAGCAGCACTTGCGCTACGGATGCACTTTTTTTTTTAAAGGTGCCCGGTCGCACTATAACACGGCCACAGCGCTGACTGGGCCCCTGAAGATTTAGGGCCCCTTCAGGTGGCCCTAAGTGCGTGGGGCACCCGTTGGGCCCCATCAGCCTGCGAGCCCCGGTGCAACTGCATCGTTGGCAATGCCGCAGCTACACGTGAGACCCGGACGGCCAAGCCCTCCAGGGCCGCCGGGCCCGTGACAACCGTCATGGTTGTCACCACCTGATGGCGGCCCTGATCACAGGTATATATTTGAGGTCGTTTTGGAAAGTAATGTCACTTTATTTATGATTTTCATTGAGCAGATATATGATTTGCATTGTGAGTATATACATCGAAGCATTATAACTTTTATTGTTTAGGTTTTAAACTAATTTTTTTTAATTGCGTTTTTCACGTTGGTTTTGCATTATATATATTCACAATGCTCTTACAAAAGATTATTTAAATGCATTTCAGCTCATTTAGCACTAGCACTGTTTGATTTGTCTCCCACGTTTGAATTAGCGTAGGACCCACCAATATTGGGGTACTGTGGGCTTAACACAATATGGCCATATGGTGGAACTGAATTCCCATATCTTTTGCTGAGATAGACGATGTTAAATAGTCTAATAGAATTTAGAAATTAATTTTTATGTGTGCGCTGTACCTTAATCTGTTAAGGATTATATAGACTAAATCTGGGAATTTCTCCCCAGAGTTATTAACTGTGATGGTTGTCACCATCACCGGGAGCAGAAGACGGACACTTTACATAGGTTCCTGAATTGTTCTTATGTTTTAGTCATGCTGTGCTCATTATAGGTACTGATGTGTATAATGTAACTGTTTATTGTTAAATGTTCTGTATGGGCTAGGCATCCAAGATGGCAGGACGTGCTTTCTAGTTGCTCCTGCTATAATAACATTACCTTGAGGATAATCCGCGCCCATCCTGCCACAGGACATGCAGCAAAGTTGGCAAAGTGATCTTGGTGCCAGCAGCCACACATATTGACAGCCTGAAGCGCCTGAGAGAGTTGAATTCTCACACATATAGCGTCTTGAGAGTGTGGGACTGGTGACTGGGAGGGACGGCTGCTCTCCTGACTCTGGGCCTGTATCTCACGATGAGCCGCACGTAACCCCATTACCCCCCCCTTTTGGACCGGTGGGGGATATCCTGGTCCCCACTGGGTGTTCGTCAGCAAACAACCTGGTGCGAGGTGCTTGATAGTGCCAGGCCGTCAGCTCACAGGGAAGATGGCCGTCACACAGAGACATGCCCTCTGGAATCCCCACGAGGACAACATAGCAAAGGCCTTCGATCGCCTGTGGGCGCAACTCTGGGCTATGCTTGCTGACCAGGCACTGAGACCAGCCACCGCAGACGCTTCACGGAGGCCTACTACAATGCCCCAACCAAAGCCTGCACCACACCGCAATACCAAACTTCCAACCGTGCTGAAAAGAAGGAAGAAGGTGAAGAGGGTACCCAGGCTTCAGGGACGCCACCCCGCCAGCAGCCGTCAGATACCTGCGCCTCAGTTAACACGTGAAAGATCTCCCACAAGCTGCATACAGCCTCAGATCCCCGTTCAGCAAGGTCGGTGGCGTGCATGGAGACGAGCCTGGAGATCTGCTCCTTGGGCTGGACACAGCCGGCTCTCACCGCATCAAAAGAGGAGAACATCATTGCTTGGGGCCAGAGGGATACCACCGTAGGTCTAGATGGACTTTTGCCACTCTGGGAAGCTGACTTTCCGATCATTGGCATCGGCTGAACACTCCGGTTGCAGTTCGCCAGATCCTGCACAGCTATATGTCTTTCTTTGTTTTCATTTTTATTTTTAATGTTCGCAATGAGATTTATACAGTTTTGAATATCTTATCAGATTTTAGCCCTGCATGCCTAGTTACAGATAGGATCTGTCTTCACCACTTTGTTTGACAAGCCTGTAATTACATGTTTATTTGCATTTATGAAGCTCGATAGGCCCAGCATATATCCTGCACTCAACCACAAGTGTTCAGCTCTCACACAAGTTATAATTGTTATGCAAGCTACTACCGGGTTACTAGAAAAAGTCCTTACATGCTACAAACCTGTTTCACTTAATGCGTCTTACTTAAATCAACTCACTAGCACAGCATACGCATGTCTCACTACTCTCACTGACTCAGTTACTCAATCCGAGACACTGCAGACTAGTTACATAAGTTGCTATAAAATAAAATTGTGCAAATTTTCCGTGCCACTGTTTAATCTATGTACCTATGCATATGTATAAATGTACGCTGTTGTGGCGTTTGCCATTGCTTTGTACTCACCTGCACAACAAAAATTAAAAATACAAAAAAAAAATGTTCTGTATGCTCTTTGGCCCTGCTATTGCTTTCAACCAACTAGGTGGATTTGGCTGTGGAGCCTGTACAGCACCATCTATAATTTGGGATCCTGAAACAGCAATATGCACTACCTGAATAGCAAGGCTTGTTAATTTGCATATTCAGGTAGATTTGCATATTATGAATTCTGAAAGCAGGAGAGATAGTTCATGTTAGCTATTGTCTTCCCTTTATAAATATGTTATTATGTTATTATAAGTTCCTGTATTTTTTTCCAATATGTTTTGGTTAATTGTATTATGTTGAGTTGTCACAGCAAGTTGAATGTTATATGCACATGGGCTAGTCCTGAGTTAAAAATACAGCTGTGCATGTTAGTTCCTTTTTTGAACTGTGTGTCCTGTTTAAATTTGTTCAGGTATCTCAGTAACAGAGTTGTTGTACCTGTTGGGTAAAGAGAGCGAGGCCTGACAGCCACAAGTGCCTTTGTAAAGGCAGCAGCTGGTCACAGTGCAGGCAGTGTTGTGGATACCTTCCTAGGGAAGTCACTGATGAGCAAAAGGGAGAAAGGATGATACTTGCCTGAAAGGAGAGCTGCAACCTGGTCGGGTGTAAGAGTTCTTGGGAGATCTCAGTCAAGCTCTGGCGAGGGAGGCTGAAGAGTTCCTGGGTCCCCAAGCAGCTAGGAAGCAGACTGGATAGAGATACTCAGTAAGAGTACAGGAGATTTGCCACAGTAACTTACATCAAGGCAAAGCTTAGAGAACAATCAGGGCTGAAAGCGAACAGAAAGAAGGTCAGGGTTGGTTGCGTAAAAGATCAAAGCTGAAGGGGTGCATGTAAGTAATCAGAGGTGGTGCTTTACAGGTAGGGATCAGTACAGGAGGAATACAGGTAAGGCTTATTGCCAAAGTAAAAGGCCAGTGTTGGTGGGATACAGGTAAAGGGACATGGTTCTGGGGTACAGGGAAGAATTAGGGCTTGAGGGGTACAGGTACAGAATTAGCGCTGGTGGGGTAAATATAACTGGTTAGAGGTAATAGTGTACAGGTAATCAGCAATCCTGGAGGGGTACAGGTAAAGGATTAGGTCTAGTGCAGCACAGGTAAAAGGTCAGGGCTGGTTGGGCACAGGTAAAGTATCAGGAATGGAGCAATACAGGTAGAGTGTTAGGTCTTGTGCAACACAGGTATTAGGTCAGGGTTGGTGGGATAAAGGTTGATGATCATTGCTGGTGAGACACAGGGAAAAGGTCAGAGATGTTGGGCACTGGTAATTTACATTATTTAGTGCGGGCCACGGATTCCACAACACCTCGTGCAACTTGTCTGCCCATCCCAAAGAATCGCCTCACCTCTGTCATGGGAATGGAAAAAAAAGTGACACATTTTTTCTTATTAAAAGTACAAAAATTAAACCTTAGAAGAGCCATGACCTTAAGAATCCGTTTTTAGGAGCTGCTAAGTATCTTTAAGTATAATTGATTGTGTAAGTTGCTATAAGTGATTACATGATACTTGCAAAAAATAATTACACTTGTAAACTGTAAATTAATTGGTGCGAGTTAGCCGTGCTCTTAACACCGTACTTAGAACTTGTTGACATTTCACAATCTCCCTCCCCCAGAATTGAATTGTTTCAGCTATAATATTATTTGCACCAGTTTTAATGAAACTCTCGCTCTGCCAGAAACACAAAATATATATAGCTTGTTTATGACATGAGACCGCAAAGTAAATATACTGATAGGTTAAAAATAAAACTTTTTCTCTGATTTATTGATTAAAAAAAGAAACACGTTAGTAACATTTCCTCAATGTGTTACATGACTTTTGTTTCTTTATAAAATAGAAAAATACCTAAAAAAAAGTATTTCACGCAAGTTGAATGCAGAGTTAATGCTCACTCTGGCTAAGACGCCATACAATTTGGCCCCTATAAACACAATTCAAATTATTTTTATTTAATTATTCAAATTATTTTGGATATTTATTAACACACAATTCTAATTCACACACACAAACACACAAATAACAATTCCCTGATTTATCAATCCTTGCTATGGGGATATGTACAATATCCCTGTAGAATGCGTTTCACTACCCTGGAAATTCATTGCTCAGAATGAAGGTGATGGTGATGTGGGTTGAGGGAGAAAAGACCCTTCAGGATGGAGGCCGCAGCAGTAGAGCCAGACCTTTCTGTCAGGTTCCTTTCATTGTGACATTCAAACTAAAACTCCCCAAATCGACCTCCTGATCTTCCCAGGTACATCTCCTATACCGTATCAGGTAAATCTTTCTCATCTCCCCAGGTATTTCTCCCACACCTTCCCAGGAAAAACCCCCTCACCTTCCCAGGTACATCTCCCATACCTTCCCAGGTAAATCACCCACAACGGCCTAAGTAAATCCCCCTCACTTTCCCAGGTAAATCTCTCTCACATGCCCAGGTAAATCTCCCACACCTCCCCAGGTAAATCTCCATCACCTCCCCAGGGAAATCTGGAGGAGTGAGAGATTAACCTTCCTAGGTTAATCTCTCACTCCTCCCCAGGTAAACCCCCTCTCCTCCCATGGTAATTCTCCCATACCTTCCTAGGTAAATCTCTCCCATCTTTCCAGGTAAATCCCTCTTACTTTGCAGGTACATCTCCCATACCTTCATAGGTAAATCTTCTTCACCTCCCCAGGTAAATCTCCCACACTTACCCAGGTAAATCCCCCTCACTTTCCCAGGTACATCTCCCATACCTTCCCGGGTAAATCTCTCTCACATGCCCAAGTAAATCTATGACACCACCACAGGTAATTCCACAACACCTCTCCAGGTAAATCACCCTCACCTTGCCAGGTAAATCTCTCACACCTCCCCAGGTAAATCTTCCACACTTTCCAGGTAAATTCCCCACACCTCCCCAAGTAAATCCCTCTCACTTTCCCAGCTACATCTCCCATACCTTCCCATGTGAAACATCACATAACTTCCCAGGTAAACCTTCCTCACCTGCCCAGGTAAATCTCCCAGACTTTCCCAGGTACATGTCCCATACCTTCCAGGTAAATCTCTCACATGCCCAGGTAAATCTATCACAATACCATAGGTAAATCCACCATACATCTCTAGGTAAATCTCCCTCACCTTGCAATGTAACTCTCTCACACCTTCCCAGGTACATTTTTCTCATGTCCCAGGTAAATATCTCACACCTCCCCAGGTAAATGTCTGACAACTCCCTAGGTAAATCTCTGTCACACCTCCCTAAGTAAATCTCACACACCTACCCAGGTAAATCCATTACATGTTCCTAGGTAAATCACACCTTCCCAGGTAAATCCCCCTCATTTTCCCAGGTATATCTCCCATGCCTTCCCAGGTAAATCTCCCATACCTTTCCATGTTAATCTCCATCACCTCCCCAGCTAAATCTCTGTCACACCTCCCTAGATAAATCTCTTACACCTCCCCAGGTAAATCCCTCACACCTCCCTAGGTAAATATATCACACTTTCCCAGGTACATCTCCCATGCCTTCCCAGGTAAATCTCCCATATTTTCCCATGTAAATCTCCCTCACACCTCCCCAGGTAAATTTCCCTCACCTCCCCAAGTCAATTTCCCACAGCTTCCCAGGTAAATCACCCTCACTTTCTCAGGAATATCTCCCATACCTTCCCAGGTAAATCTCCCTCACCTCCCCATGTAAACCTCCGACACCTTCCCAGGAAAATCTCAGACCTTTCTGTTAGGTTTCTTTAATTGTGACATGTTCAAACTAAACCTCTCCAAATCAACCTCCTTTACTGATCTCCCCAGGTAAATCTTTCACATCCCCTTGTAAACTCTCTCACATACCAAGGTAAATCTCTCACATCCCCTGGTACATCTCTCTCACATGCCAAGGTAAATCTTTAACATCTCCCTAAGTAAACCTCCCTGGCCTTCCCAGGTAACCCTCACAAACCTCCCCAGGTAAATCCACCACACCTAAATTTCCCTCGCCTTGCCAAGTAAATCTCTCACAGGCTCCCAGGTAAATCTCCCACGTCCCCAGGTAAATCTCTCACACCTCCCCAGGTAAACCCCCACACCTCCCCAGGTAATTCTCTCACCTCCCCAGGTAAATCTCTCACACCTTCCCAGGTAAACCCCACACCTCCCCAGGTACATCTACCACACCACTCCAGGTAAATCTCTCACACCTCCCCAGGTAAACCCCCACACCTCCCCAGGTACATCTACCACACCACTCCAGATAAATCTCTCACACCTCCCCAGGTAAACCCCCACACCTCCCCAGGTACATCTACCACACCACTCCAGGTAAATCTCTCACACCTCCCCAGGTAAACACCACCACCACATGTTAATCTACC